TTCTACATGGAATTACAGAAATATGCTAGCGAACAAGGTCCTAAAAGGCTGCCCATAGCAACAACATCAACTTGGTGGTATAGATGACCGTCAAATAAAAAATGACTATTCTTAACTGCTAGGTTTAGGAGATTAGTAAAGTTGGGGCGACTAAGACTTTGAAAAGAATTATGGTGGGAAAACAAACGGTTAATAATCCATTCAATGGTTTCGTCAACGGAGATATAAGTCATGAGTGAATAGCTGTCAAAACTTACCATTACAACATTATCAGTGTTGATATTCAAAAATAAAATTTCCTGAATAAATGAAAAGGAATCTTTGATAATGAAAGAATTGGATAAAATTGGGGTGAGAATGGGGGTAAAAATTTTAGCTATCTTATACGAGTAATGAGTTATTCTTTAGTTCTCTTCTTTTGGCAGTGTGTTTATATTACGTGGAAAGACTGGGTGCTACTGACATCAAAACATCGATTAAAGTAGCCTTCCATCTGTGTAATTCAATGGTCTGGACGCAGTGCAGTGTCTTTTAATTAAGACATTTCGTATAAAGACATTCTATTATTTTTGGTGCCATTTCTAAGTGTCGTCACTTTTCTGCTTGATAAGTTCCGTTTCTTATGGGCTGTTCACATGATCTCGGCAGCCAGAATTCGGAGAAGCGTTAAATCATTTTAGCAAATGGAAAAGATTCAGAAAGAAATGATTCAGAAAAAAATGCTTCTCATCAAAAAACTTATTTGAACAATTTCTCCATGCTTTGACTTTGCAAATTTACAAAACCTTTTAAAATGAAAACTACTAATTTGGCTTAATATGAAAATTACAATTAAAATGATTTATGACGCTTAAGAAAGGTTGTAAGTTTTGTGCGACAAGTATTTGTTTCTTTAAATGACACAACATGATTTCACGTCATATTACCGCTGCTTGATTTATTTGAAGCATTTTATTTCAACTTCACCCTACGGCTGACATATGTGCTTACTTTATTATGGACACTTCAATCTTAGCTAAATCGACAATTCAAAAACAAAATTCAGTTTTATCACATGACAAATAACTCTTCAAAAAAATACATCACCTCCCGTCAGGAAGCATGCGACAGATTTTGCTAAGCTTGGGCGTGATTTACATACTATTTTAAGAGCTGTGTTTTGAATTCAGATCTTAAATCTGCTGTGGAGATTTTCCCTTACAGATAAAACTAATATTTTTATTTTTAGTTGGTGCGAAAATACAGTGTATTTGGTTATGATAGTTCCATCAAGATATTTATGAAGTCTAAGAAGTGGTATTTATCCAGCAAAAAAGCGACGATATTGAAGTAATGTCTTTGTACGAAATGTCTCGATAAAATACACTACACTGTGTCCTAACTTGGAAAACTGGGATTGAATCTTATTTTGTCAACAGTAATCATGAAGATGTACAAGAGTAGCCGAATACTTTTAAGATTCGGCTATAAAATATGGGTCGCCAAATGTAAAAAAAATATTTATACAAAATCATGTCTAGAATTTCATTATTTAGTAACCATCTCTGTATTAACTGTACACAATCAGTGGATTTTTTCCAACAAGCCATGTATTATTTATTGCAAATTAAATAATCCACTGCTTATATCTAGCCAAATGTAAAATAGATATCGTGCGTGTCAATTGTAAAATAATGACCTGTTGCTAAACTGGAAAAGGACTTTGGGGAAGAAAAAATTTCAAAAGAACTGAAATGACGATTGCTTTAGGTATGTTACAGGGTGAGTGTAATAACAATATATCAAGAATTTCAGCAGCAAAGTTTGCTTACTTCGTATTTAAGTTACACTGCAGTTATAAACTTTATTTGCAATTGGTAAATTTTAATCCTGTATTATACTCGTTCCACTATGGAAAATTGTGTTGAGAATATCGACGAGGAAACAGACATATCCACAAGAAGGTAAAAGTACAATTGATATTGAGAAAATGGTTTATAATTCTCATTTTGCTTATTTGAAATTACTTTATTGAAAAAGTAAGTCCAACGTTAACGCAAGTCAAGTCCGAGTTAAGGAGATGTTTGATTCCGGATTCGGCGTTCCTAAAATGACCGCACAAATTTGTAGGTGATTTTTACTTGATCTATAGATTAATTCTACCTTTCATCATTCTATTTAGGCAAAAACGTTATTGCATTATCTTGGGAAGAAATATATGTTTAGAATCTTTTTCATCTCGAATAACTAAGGTACGTATACGTACATCGCTGCTTTTTATTATAGAAAACATATTTCGCAATTTTCAGCACAAATTTTAGAAAACTCAGTCTGCAGTTTATTCAATTGAAAAAATAGTAAATTGGATATGTGTCCAACTCTACGGAATCAAAACTTTGAAATAAATTGTAGAATCCCAAGATAAAGAACAATGAAAAATACATCAATTTATTAAAAAGATAATGAGCATACTTTTAAGTTGTCATGTCTTTCATGAGAAGAATTCTTGTAAAGGAAAAACCCACATATTGACAACAAAAATTCCCATTTTCGGTCCATGCCTCGCGATACCCCGAGATAATTGAGAACTAGACGTTAATCAAGGGAAATAGATAATCGTTGTTTTCCATGAAGCCCAAGAAAGGTTTGTTGTGATACATGAGAAACAGTAAGTATAAAACGTTTAAGGTTGTCTTAACTTATAAGTGCCTAAAAACGGTACAGTGTCAAAAGAAGTTAATTGAAACGTTGCTTGGTTTATTTAATAGGAAGAACTCTTGTAAACAAAAAGATAGAACTCAAAAGCAAAAAACCCCCGTTTTCGGTCCATGCTTCCCGATACCTTCTTAAGCGTAAGGCACTAGAACGCTGCATGTTAACGTTTCGGTTGGAGATTTCGGCCCCTTCCACGCTATCCTACTTGGGGATGTCAATAGCAAGCTTCCGCCCATCAGACCCCGAGATCACCTGCGAAGGCTTTGCTCGGGGTACGCAGGGAGAGTGCGGTCGCGACCCGAAACGTCTGGACCCCTAAGCCACTGCATACATATCGCACCCAGCTTCCACTGCTAGTTGACATATATTATACATATATTTAGCTTTATATTTATATACATAAATTCAAAGACTTTACGATAGTTGTGGTATTATTGTAGTCACTACTGCGCATGCCCAGACGATTTCTTTAATAATTTGCGACTAAGTGAGCTAAATGCCACAACTTTAGTGCAAGTACATATGGTTAGTCATTGCCATGACTGTAAACAGTTAGTGGAGTGGACTGCACATGCGCAAGTGCTATGCTTATGAATTCTTTATTAAATTGTTACTAAGCATGCTATTTACCTCAAAATCAGTGCTAGTTAATGGAGTGTGGATGTAGTTGGTCGTTGCCATGACCATCAACTTCGGCAGCTGATTAAGTCGACTGCGCATGCGCGTATGATATATTCGAAAATTTGTGACTGAGCGAGCTAATCCTCGATAATTGGTAGTGGTACATACAGTTAGTCGTTACCATGAACATGAATTCGGTGGGTTAAGTTGACTAGGCATACGCGCAGAAGGGTCGCAAGTGTCGGGCCCTTTGATTTTTTTCTCCTCGCGTATGTTGTGCCGCGCATATTGGCAGCAATTATTCCAGCAAGATATTTAGGGCTTTTCATTTGTTCCCAACCACTGAAATGACACCACGTCAATTCTTATATTGAAATTATTTCGATTTCATTGTGAGAATAACGTCGTGTAGTTGCCGTGGTTGGAAACAAGTGAAAAACTCTAAGTATCTTCCTGGAATGATAACGGATCTAAGGACGCGGTGCACACTTCTAAAGAGTGGCCTTTCTGTTTAATATTTAACATGTGGTAAAATTCAATATACTATGTTCAAATTTAAGTACATATCCTTGGATTCCAACCAACCTTCAAGGAATTATCAAATAATGTGGCTCGCCAACGTAGGCTGCTGGCAACAATAGCATAAAATATTCATTTGTATTGATCCAAACATGGCAGTCTTGACGCAACATACGCACCAAGAATATTTCATTTACAAATTTTAAATAGGCAGATTGCGCCAATAACACTGTCATGGTCTTGGCGAATTTTTCACTTGTGGCTTAAATAATTGTCTTTGGTTAAAGCGGTTTCACGCGTTCCGAACCGATTTAGCCAATAATTTAATTAAACTAAGACCTTGTTTACATTGCACCGGATTACTATTAGGGAAGGTTTAGTTTTCTATGTGTTAAAAGTCGGTGATAACGTCCAATATCAGAGACAAAACTAAATAGATTGAATCTATCAACTCAATAAGAATTTAATCCAACCAGTTAACCCCTTTAAAGCAAATGAAGATGTGATGAGCAAATCCCGTATAGTGCAAACGCAGCTTAAATGAAAGAAGGCAACTGCATGTCGGAAAAATAATGTGACGACTGTTTGCATTGAAAGACAGTTTAATAAATTAACACTCATATACAAACATTTTATGATTAAACTGTTACAATTTGACTTACAGCTAAAATTAAAATTATTCAACGTGGAATTATATCCCTCGTAATATTTATTATTTTTTAACAGTTCACCATCGATTCACACATGATACAGGCAAGCATAAAAACAATCGCGTCATCCTTAGCCAAAGTCTCCAGTCCTTACAAATAATGGAAACTAATGAAATAGATTGAGAGAAAGACAAAATGATAATGATCTGGAACATACATTAATGTGCTATTTCTGCAATGGCTTTCAGATGACATAATTTGTTGTGATTTGAGTAAGTTCCTTTGTGGCAGTTAGTCAGTAAAATGTTGTTGGCTGGAAGTGTTTCAAATCCGATTTTTACAAAGAATTCGCCAAAACCAATTTATTGATAATCATGATTTGTGTATTCATACTGCACAAGAATGAAACACAACAAACTACGACAAATTATGTCATGTGAAAACAGTCCTATCGCATGTTTCTCTGTTGTGCATAAACATTGGATTCGTCTACAACAATTTGTGGGGTTCTTCAGTTTATCCTAAAGAGTTTATCCTGAAAGGTGATGATCTTTCCGCTGATTCCGTAGATGAATAATTTGTTTTATTATCCTCAACTATATCAGCATCTCTCATAACAAAATCACATGGAGTAAACATATTTCCTTGTAAGTTTGTGTCATTTGAAAATTCACGGGAAATTTCATCTTCATTTTGTTGCCTAGATAACATGACAAATTCGTCATGTAAGCCTGACTGAAGGCACCCAACAGAACCCATCCTATCCATTGATACCATATCATTAGAATTACCAGCATCTGCGCAATCTTTATTGTCTTTTTTTTCTTGTTTGCTCAGCATAATTTCTCTGCGCAACAAAGGGTTTTTAAGAGGACGTCCACGTTTTCGCTTTAAAATCACATTGTTGCGCCTTTTCTTTGCGCTGACGACTGTCCGTCGTTTAGTCTTAGACTTAAATCCCCCAAGAAACTGTAATTCAGAACACGAATTTGTGTGAAATGATAATTGATCATTGACATTAGCAGATTCGGAGATATTGTTTATTGTCGTAGTAAGGATGGGTAAATCTTCCTTGTCAGCAGGATTTTCATAGCATTCAACACCCGAGTCATATGAACATGTGGCGCCGTCGGCAAGAAATTCTAAACAAAAAAGACAGTGTGCATTTGGCATGCTTAATTGTTGTGTACGTACATGACACGAAATTTTGTTGCCTTCAATAAAAGATCTTCGAAAAATGTAATGTACTCTCTTTCTTACATTAAAGTTTGCATGTTTAGACTGCGTTCACATGAGAACGGAACGAAACTCTAGCAGTATAGTTTCCAACCGTTTCACACTGTTAACACGATACCCTAAGAGTTTTGCTCCGTTTTGTTGTTGTGATTAAACTACACCGGATTGATGCCGCCTTTTAGTCCATTCGAGTCATAATTATTTGAAGTCTTTAAATTTTTGCGGACCATATTCATCGCAGTGAGAGAGGTGTAAAAAATAATCGCAGATAAGTATAGCGGAATTAAAGGTGATAAGGCTTAATCTTTATTCAGTCAATTATGATGCTAACTATTGAATACGTATTTTCAAATGGAAAATATCAATGGCTAAAACCAACAATTCCAGAAGTGGATGTGAAGATGGATGAAGAAAGTCAATCACAGAGATCTTTCACTTAAGACAATAAAAACTGATTAAAAAGTATTCAATTAACGAATATTCAGACATGTTTAAGAACAAGAAACAGTATTTAAAAAAGAATATCCAAAATCATCAATGTCATACGCAGCACTCGATCATACCTGAGATCCTTCCATGATCCCTTTTCAGTCGTTTACTCGTATCGCGAAAACTGTATTTTTTTTCCGATGACTCGTTATCGGGACAACTGAACGCTCCTTTACCGCGTCGCTCACACGACACACATTCACATTTGCAATTACTGTCACCAAAGAAATTATCGCCATAGTAACAAGTAATTTCTTCGCCTTCATCGATATCACGCAGAACTTTTACACACGCAGTGGAAACACCCGTTGAAACAAACTGCAAAATAGAAAACCAAACAACATAATGGAAGCACTAGATATTACATAATTTCATATGTACGTACGTCCTCGCCGGGAACTAATTTTTAAATTTTTCAACCTACCTTGCAGTTAGGTCTACAATCTAAAATAGATGATAAAAAAGTTAATATAGCTACATTGATATTTGACAAAGAATAGGATGTTTGGGGGTGTTAGAGGGGTGAAGAAAGAGTCCATGATTTTGAGTCTTTATGATGCAAAATGCCATTGTGTTTCGACTGTTTTAATAATAGAAGTTCATAAAAAGGTTTTACATTGAAGTGCTAATGAAATATATTCTTCAATTCCTTTTTTACTAGCTTATTGACAAATTGACTGGGACTCGGGAAAGTGCATTACTTACAGTACTGACTATAGACAACGGCTTACATTAGAAAGTTGGTATACCAACTTGGAACAAACCCCCCTGAACAGGCCACAGCAATTAGCGGCACTTTACAAACGACTTATTCACAATACAAACAAACGATCAACAAAAAACATTACACTTCACACTAATTCACAATGACAATACACAATTGACACCCACACATACAACTAGAAATGTCACACCTAAATCACACATCACAACTAAAAATAAAAATATTACACAAATAATTCACTATGACAATACACATTTCCTGTACACCCATTACAATGACGTAAAAACCAGATAATAAATACGGCTAACCTGACGTTTACTCCTCATTTGACTCTAAAGATGACTACCGCTAAGGTTGTCGAAACGTCTGTCAACAACAACAAAAACAGTTCTTCTCAGAACTATACCAACCTGGACGATTGACATTTACAAACATGTCACATTTCATAGCTAGTTTTTGTGCAATTATATTTTATTATATGCTTTGAATATCAAGGAAAAATATCATTTACTGTAATACTATAATCTTTCTGTCCATAGAGTTACCACCAACACCGTGCGACTCTCGTCCTTGTAAAAACAACGGTATCTGTTCAATTAATGGAGATACATTTTCGTGTGAATGTGCTGTTGGTTTTGAAGGCAACACTTGTGAAGGTTTGTAAAGTTTAAGTTTTCTTAAAGTAATTTGTAAAAAAATACAATTTTATATCAATGTAGAAGAGTTGAATATGGGTCATAAAAAGTTTTAAAATCATTCAAATATCAGATACAACTTGGTTTTCACATACTGTGACTGGCATGATGTATTTAGGGAAATTGTTTTGAATGTCTAAAACACAAACAAAACTACCTCATAAACATAAGCTACATATGATATTAGCAATAAAAGACAAACTTTTAAATGCATTTTTATCGCAAAAAATTTTGATACATATTTTTTTTACTTTTAGTAACGAATGCATGTGCAAAAGGACCTTGTAAAAATGAAGGTGTTTGTACAATTGTTGGATCTTCTTATAAATGTGAATGTAAATTTGGTTTTACTGGAAAGAATTGCGAACGTAAGTCCACTCATACATTTTCTTAATGAAAATTTAATTTCCAAGAATTTTGGTACAAATTTCGTAATTATAGCATAATTTATTAGACTTCAAACTTTTCATAAATTTTAGATGCAAAGTACCAACAGAACATTAACTTGAATTTAATTCAAGTTATTGTCATTAGTCGTTATTAATTGACATAGTTTTCTAATTTAACAAATAAATTTGGCAAAAAGACTGGAAATTTAAGTCAGAGTCCAAGTCACATATTTTTCATGTGCATATTAAAAACCGTGTTAGGGTTTATATATTATAGTCAAATTAGGAAGTTAAATACGAGAATTTAAACTTTTTCTAGATGTCTGGGGTAAGCTATTGTATTTTTTATAAGAAAATCCTTATTTAATATGACACTGTTAATTTGTTACCCTAGATATTTTAATTTGTGTATTTGATGGTTTTTTATGATTTCCCTCTGGCTGTCAGCCGCAATATTTTTGCTCCCGATTTTCATTCAACAGGATGCAGGTTTAGTGTAACAAATCCATACAATTATTCTATGTTTGACTGACTTTTGTGTTTGTAATCTAGTTTTATCTTGCAGCGTTTACTTCTGCTTTGCCTTTGAATAATTTTACGTCGTGCACGAGTGTTTATCAAAACGTATAAACGAAGACAACTTGTTTTTGTATTGATTATTTGTTATGATGACTTTCAACTTTTATAAACTTAAGCTTGTAGTATTCTGTCAGCATGGTCTCATTGATTTGAATATTAAAGTTGATAACTGATAAAATTTTATTTAAGATACTTGTTAATGCAACTTAAGCAATAAAACAAAATAAAAAAGTCTTTTGATGTACTTTTCTTTTCGATATATCTGCATATTACGATGTTTCCACTCTTCAATTTGACATTCAACCCTCCCCAGTTGTGATCACTTGGCAACGGGTCTGAGTTTATTAACGTTCAAAACCAATTCAAAGCTACTTATGCACATAATCGTATAATATGTGATTATTTTTTACCTCCATTCTGTCATTCTGTATGCAACCAATGAATATTGTCAAATAATAATGTTGCTTCAAAGATTATATTTCTAGTCACAATAAAAACTTCCTTAATGAATTATTGCTCTGTCCTTTCATTTTTAAATATAAATTACGTTATTTATTTTAGTCAACGTTAAACCAGTCTGCGTAAATGCAAATTGATGGTTATCTTTCGACAAACAAGGATGGTCAACTTGTGACACCACAAACCAGTTTATCACTGGATTATGGCGCAGCGCATTAAGTGCCAACAATGATGGACTTTACCGTCTTGAAGAAGCCAAATGCTGCCAATCTAGTCCAATATATATTGGGCAGAAAAGTATTTGCCAAAATGCTAACTGGTGGGATTCTTTGGACAAGTTAGTGTTTTTCCCAGAATCAATCTTTTAACTGGTATTAATTGTCTGTTGGTTCATTTTCTCAGTTCTTTCTACTGAGAAAATGACGGAAACGTAAGAATTTTGGATGCATTACTTGGACTATGATTTAAAATGATGAACTTTTGTGACTGTTTAGTTTAACGTAAAAAATGCGTACCAGTATTTACAGGTTTTTTTTCAAATTTTGATCCAGGATAGTGCTTACTATTCTCACTTTCAATTTTGATTTTTATCAAGTTTTGTACTTTATTGTTTTTGTTACCTAATTGTGAACACTGATCGTATTAGTAGCAACCGATAGCCGAATCATTCTTAATAGTAGCGAGAGACTTGCCGAGCGGAAATCGAATTCGTGTAATAAAAATTAATGCCCAACTTAGGGCTCTAATCAAAACTTTATGTTGAGCATTAATTTTTATTACACGAATTGAATCATTCTTAGTCTCTAAACGTGGCAACTTAAACAGCTTTTCAATTCAGATCAAGGCGCAATGTCTTGTAGGCGCAATTCTTAATAGTAGCGAGAGACTTGCCGAGCGGAAATCGAATTCGTGTAATAAAAATTAATGCCCAACTTAGGGCTCTAATCAAAACTTTATGTTGAGCATTAATTTTTATTATATTGCACTATTATATTGTCCTTTAATTTAGTGAGAAATTTGAAATAAAATATATTATATTGTCCTTTAATTTAGTGAGAAATTCTTTTCTTACGATCTTTTGTCCGTTGGTTTTCCATGTACTCAAAGCTAGCTACATTTTAACTTGTGTAGCAACACTTTCTAATGAAGATTTACGTGATTAAATTGACTTATTTAAGACTGTATACATAAATGTATAAATAATATGGAAAAATAAGCAGGATAAGCTGTTTAACTCTAAATGCTGAACAACAACCAAAAACGACTAAAAATAGTAAATGCAGTGCACTTTGTGTGTCATTCAATCATAAAAAAATAAAGATAGAAACTTATTTCCTTAAAAATGTATTTCAGAAAAGGATGGAGTGTTTGTTCGAATGGATATTTTCTAAATGGTCTCTATCGCACAAACGGACACCACTTACACAACCTCGAAGAGGGAAAATGTTGCAAACCAGTCAATCATCCCGACAAGTATGGTGATTGTTACCATGAAAATATCAAAAATGAATTCAACAAAAAAGGATGGACAATGTGTAAAAAAGATGGCTACTACGTCACTGGATTAAGACGAGATTCTGGGGATTGGCTAAAGGACATTGACAATTTTAAATGCTGTAAAATGTGGAGTGGTAAGAATCACAAAACTAATTCTTTTAAATCATTAATTAAAAGTAAATGTTTCATTATCTCTGTTTGTGTAGGTTGAAGCTCCATGCCAACCACGTGATAAATAAGCAAGTAATGATTTTATAGAAAAACGTTGTTGTTGTAGTTAGAAACTGTTATTTCAGTTATTTTGTTAACTCATTTTTCAAATAAAACTTTGATACAAAAGGAATGTGGATATTTTTAACTTTTCATACCACAAATTGCATGTCCATGAAGTTTTAACGCAAGATTCCCTTCATTTCTGTAATCATACTTGTCTGTATAGTTTTATTATATGATTATACAGTATGTGCTTCGCTATTATGTTCGTGAGAACAGTTGCGATAGTAGTATTCAAAATTGTGTATTTATTATTTGTTAAAAATCAGCTATCACTCCTACTTAGCGGGGAAATAATAATTTTTCACTACACATATGGCATAAAAAAGTAGAATCTTATAAACGACCAAATGCGATGTCATTGATCTATTGCTCTGAAATGGAGCTATAGTATAACAATTCAATTTTTTTTATCGATAATTACTATCAATTATTTTCTCGATTTATGTGTCAAAAAATGGGAAAGCTGAATATTCTCGCAAACTAAAAACAAACAAATTGTCGTAAACAATGTAAGGAGTGATTTCAATTTCATCAAAATTGTACACCAAGAAACTTAGCTACTTGTTATAAAACGTTCTTGAACAGAACATATCAAATGAATGGACATATTGATCGTCACAAAAAGACAAAAAGTTATTCCTTGTCGAAATCCTCCTCACCATCGCTCAATTTCCACAGTATGGCCTTCTGCTGTCCTTATATATTTGAATTAAAACTGCTCATCTTGTGTCTTGCTCTTGTTTTCATGAAATTTTACGTATGTTTTTTCATTGAAATATAGGATAAATCATAAACACTAATGTTCATCATATTAAAATGGAAATGGTAAAAATGACCTCATAAATTTAAACTTATTGTTTGGCACTTTGGCTTGTCACGTTCGTTGATGAAAATAAACAGTTAAAAGAAAAAAAACTCTTTCACAGAATATGTGGTTGATAGTCACCATTTATTTCGCCTAGTTATACCAAATGACATTGCATTTATTGCAGTAACGTCACAATTATGCTTTTTTAAGGAAATTGATAATTTTACGATAAAATGAGGGTATTGACAATTATTTGAGCTTGATTTCTCATGTTTCCGGACAAAAAGAACTACAACAGTGTTAACTAATACTGGTATTGTTCTCCTTTTTAGACTAACTGAATGGCAAAATATTTGTTTTTTGCTGCATTGTATTAAAATTAACTAATTTTCTATTAGTTCCAGTTCCCTTAAAAGATGGTTTGAATTTTGGTGCTCATAGATGTATGGGGTGAGCACTGATATCATGCGAATTAAATTAGAAATTGTAAAAATGACTTTTTCATCTTCTTTAAACTGAAAGCTAGAGTTGTCACATTTGTTCTTGAAAGATAACTAAGGAATTTATTAGAATAATGATATGGTTTAGAGTTGATAAACAGGACAGCATCTTATCTCAGAGAAGCTCGTCATATTGATTTTCTATAGATTGACATTCACAAAAATTGTTCTTAAAGTTGTTTGCCAAGAGAAACAGGAAGTCCTGTTGTTGATAGCATTGTTTCCAAACAAAGCAACTTTTTCATGTTTTTTATCTAAAATAAGCCAGACACAACAAGTAATAACAAGATCATTCTCGCCATCTCCAATGTATTTTCATTTAACGTTAATGTTTGTGATTTATTTCCGGAAAATAAGCACGTTGCCAAAGTTTCGTCTGCCAAAATCCATTTATTACCATGGAAGATTTAACAACCACAGAATAAGAATATACAGGAGGGTCACTCGTGTCGGAACCTTTCATATTTTTATCTTCGCGCACGTTGTGCGCATATCGGATGCCATTATTTCAGCAAGATATTTGTGGTTTTTCGCTTATTTACAACCGTCAAAACGACATGGCGTCATTTCTTATATTGAAATATTATCGATTTCATTACAAAGAGATGATATCATGTTGTTCCTGAGGTTGGAAACAAATGAAAATGTGTAAATATCTTGCTGGAATATTGGCATCCATGAGAATGCGATGCACACTTTGGTGGCCCTTCTGTGGAAAATCGATGCTGACTGATGCATCTATGCCTACGATCAATAAAATTTCAATCTAACCATAGATACAACAAACCTAGATTTCTGACGTATATACTAGTTATACGCATTGATATGTAAATAATACTGGATAACGCATCATTGATGATCTTAGATTTAGTAGACATAGGTTGTTGACGCATCTCATTCGCGAGGACACCATATAATCCAAGAGTATTCCAAAATGGCGTATTAGGTTGTATTACAACTTTAATGTTTTTCAAACATTACGCCGATTTTTTATAAATTTTTCTTCTCCAATCAACCTATTTTGACAAAATACGTTTATTTTCCATCTTTTGCGCAAATAATGGACTCCTTAGATGAAACATTCATGAAAATATCCCTTTCCGAATTTATTGTGAAGCATGGCAATTGGTCACTTGACCTGTTTGTGTAATTTCTCTCCACGTACAGTCAATTATACTGCGAAAACTTCTAAACAGAGATACTTTTGGACTACGAAAACCTATGCTCATTCATTTTTGAGTTGAATGAAGATTCATAGAGCTTACGTCAGTAGAAAAGGGTAAAAATGGATCGATAAAGGACTATTTGATAAGATCTGTAACTGCTTTAAAGTACGCATGCAAAATAGACATGAAGAGTATTAGAACGTCTCCGAAAAGGTTAGTTTTGACGAGATAAGGGTAATTTTAGCTAAGTCTGGGGGCATATAAAGATTTATGATTAACAAAAAAGCAGCTAGTGAAGTATCAACTAAATAACGCACCTTTTGACGATAAACATTTGCATGCTCTTACGTTTTGGCCTTAAAACCATGACCCTCCGTCCCCCTCTGCCTTCTTGTGAGCAATATGCAACAGCGTTTTGTGAGCACAAAATCACACTGTTTTCTTGGGTTGACGTAAAAATGTTATAATTAAGTTTGCTACAAAGTATTCAGAAAGTATTTACTGCATTTACTTGACTCAATTTTATACTTTGCGTTCATTAACGAACATGTGTACAGCGATTAGTCCTGAATTGTAGTAAGTGGTTGGAGAACGGGGGTAGCAAAAAACTACAGAAACCTCAAAATTAAGTTCAACTGACATTTATCATGATTTTAAACATTTTTAAAAAAATTCTGGATGTAACTAGTTATGACTGTTAAAAGAAAACATGACGTGTAACCATGATCTTTAGCGCCGCAAAACTTTGTTTTACCAGCTGACTATTCATCAAAGTATAGTGAAAATGTATAGAGAACATTCATGTTTTGTAAGAGCTATCGATATTCCTATTAAAATGATGTACGTAGATGACACAATCACAGCGCTACATGCAGACGAGATTAATTACTTTTACACTCGCATCAACAAACAAACTTAACTGCTCTGACTGCCACACCTCCTATTTCGGAACACTAGCAGGAACGTAAACATAAGACTTACTGAACACAAACGAGCTACAAAGAAACAAGACAAAACCTATAACATTGCCGAACATCACCGACTTCACAACATTAACTGGGACTTGGCAAAAGGCATTACTTACAGCACTGACTACAGACAACGGCATACATTAGAAAGTTGGTCTACCAACTTAGAACAAACCCCCTGAACAGATCACAGCAATTACCGGCACCTTACAAACGACTTATTTACAATACAATCAAAGATAAACTAAAAACATTCTCCACCTAAACGATCTCCAATTCTCCATCTATAAATATGTAACGATACTTCCGGACTGAAATTCTTTACTTTAAGCTATATCACCTTAGCTACATCTCATAAAACATATGGTTATTGATTTAAACTAACTATATTCATACACCGCGACAAAGTTTAAATTTATATGTTAGTTTGGGGAAGGCGTTTATTAGAGAAAAGTGTTTATTACGGAGGGTCGTCTAATAAATTCAATGATTTATTATATTTGAGAGTGCTAAAGTATTTATAAGATCATCTAGCTACGTTACATGCATAGACAGAGTCATTAAAACATTGTATCTATAAAACAAATCAGGTATATAATATTTTAAGTGCTGTTGAGTTATAAGTAGCATTTTCTATACATTCATCATATTGCTAGCGATTTTAACTATTATTTAAACTTTTCAAATAAATTTGGTCTGACGTTTGTTTGCTCATTATTTAAATACTTATTACCGTAACTGCAAAAAAGATTTTTCTCTCCCATTATTTATACAAACCATTATCTTAAAAACAGTATAGCTTTGCCCAAAACATTACTTGTTTCTTTTCAATTAATTGCCTTAGAATGGATGGTTTGCTCGTGATAGATGAGAAACAGTAAGTATAAAACGTTTAACGTCGTCTTAACTTATAAGTGCCTAATAACGGTACAGTGTCAAAAGAAGTTAATTGAAACGTTGCTTGGTTTATTAACTAACTATAAGAAGAACTCTTGTAAACAAAAAGATAGAACTTGAAAGCAAAAAAAACCCGTTTTCGCTCCATGCTTCCTGATACCTTTTTATGCGTAAGGCACTAGAACGCTGCATGTTAACGTTTGGGTATGAGATTTCGGCCCCTTCCACGCTATCCAACTTGGGGATGTCAATAGCAAGCTTCCGCCCATCAGACCCCGAGATCACCTGCAATAGGCTTTGCTCGGAGTACGCAGGGAGAGTGCGGTCGCGACCCGAAACGTCTGGACTCCTAAGCCACTGCATACATATCGCACCAAGCTTCCACTGCTAATTGACATATATTATACATATATTTAGCTTTATATTTATATACATAAATTCAAAGGCCTTACGACAGTTGTGGTATTATTGAAGTCACTACTGCGCAAGCCCAGACGATATCTTTAATAATTTGCGATTAAGTGAGCTAAATGCCACAACTTTAGTGCAAGTACATATAGTTAGTCATTGCCATGAGACCACGCTTGCTTGTAAACAATCAATTAACCTGATAATGACTTTGAAATGAAGTCAAAATGATGCTTTTAGGCCTTGTCTCTTGCATATATAAATCTTATCTGGAGTTTACAAGATGCTATTTTTTTGGAGTATGTTTCATGTTATCATTTATTCTATGGATTCATACTGTAATAAAATGTAAAGAATTTGGGTTGTTTAAACAACTTATTTTGCACGCAGTAAAGTTAAATTTAATCTGATGCAATTTTCCAACAATATTGCAATATTTTTGCAATATTTACTGAGATAAGGCCGTTTTAATTAAGACAGAGTTTTTTTAGAGAAGCAGAAAATTAGTGAAATACCTACTCAAATAATATTATTTTTAAAGTAGTACTGCATTTGAACTGCAGAAGTAAGATGTCCTTTTCATTATCATTTTAAATGAATGAAACAATATATAGAAAAAACGGACAATTTTTGTTCATGTGTATGGCTACGTGCTTCACCTGTACATATTTAATTATTAATGCCCATATTTACATTTTTTGTTTTTCAAACCTGCTTTCTTACGTTGACAAAGTGATATAAATTGTTGTATTGTACGGTTTTTCTGTAAAAACATGAAGCATAATTTAAGTGTAATGTTCCCCTTTTTAAATTTTTGTTAATAGCATAACTTTTTCAGTTATTGAGTAGAACGAGGAGATCATTTTTTATGCTCTACCCTTTATAAATAGAGTAAACATCATTAAACATAAGGTAATCATCATTTCATTACAGAAAACTACTTAAAGAAACAAACGCTATAAAAGCTAATATGTTTATGGTGATTAACTTATATCTAAGCTGCTTTTACTTTGACGAGGATGTTTATGTAAGATAAAATGTTTTTAAAAAAATCTATAAAGGTGCAGTTGGCAATATTTTTGTGTTTTGAATATTTTCTTCAAATCAGTTGTTTCAACTTTTGCTATGATTCTTCACACAAAGGTAAGGCACATTGTGTAGAAAATAGTATAAATAAATTTGGTCGTGAAATATAAAAAAATTGCGTTTACATCCAGAATCTTTTCTCTTATCAAAATTATTTTTGCCATATTTCGTGTTTATTTTAGGTCAGAGACTATGGACCGATATATATAAAAAAATTGATGTCAAAAGTGAGATCGAATGCATTGTTTCCTGCGTTAAGGAATCATGTTGTCGATCTATAAACCACAGGAGAAAATTAAGTCAAGGAAATTGGAGTCTCTGTGAAATGTTACATAGTGTTCTCAACAACAGCAATGAAAACGATTTAAAACGTAATCGATTTTATGATTACATTTTTTTCAGCTCGCCATTCAAGGTAAAAATAAATTTTAAGTCAATAGAAGAATAATTGTGTTGGTAAAGATGTTCTTTCAGGAATACATAAGTATTATGTCAAAAAAATGTATATCTAGTTATGTAATATCTTAAAATATCTGTTATTTAAACACAAATTGCTTGTTCTCCATCACAAATATTAATTTTTGTTGTTTAGGAGTACAATAAAACATGCGAAGTCCAATCGTGTAAGTTTAGATGGTTTTTACATACACTGTGGTTTTTTATTTTGATGTAAATATAAGAAATTTTAATTTATCCTTAGCACGCAACAAAAGTTACGATTTGCTCTTCAAAAATGCACATGTTGAGAACGTGATTCTATTGGATAATGTGATGCCCAATATGTCTGCGATAACGTTGATGTTTTGGATAAAGATAAACTCAAGTCAACGAATGGCGTTGTTTTCTTACGCTATAGAAGATAGTCCCGAGGAATTTTTTGTTGGCGTTGAAAGAAATTGCCTTGTCGTCATAATGCAGTCCCATCATATTTTGTAAGAGGAAAATGTTATAGTTTACTTTCTTTCTTATTGGCAACAACTCTTTAAAATTGCACATTTAAAACTGTATTAGTTGCGTTAGCTTTAAAATAGCTTATAACACGAAATATTTTTTATTTTCAGAAGACTTAAACACAATACATTAAACTATTTGCTGTTGTTGCGAATAAACATACTCCTTTATTTGCATCGTTCATTAATCAAAAGTTTATTGAAGTGCACAAAAAGATGCCATTTTTAACACAACAAACACTCATTTTTATAGCAAGACATTTGCGTTAGGTTGATTTGCATTAGTTTTATAGGTGGCCCAAAAGTCCGTTTAAGATTTCTATTCAATCGATATGTTTATATAATAAATACATTATTTGTTTTATGTACATTGTTTGTCACGCAAGCGATCTCGCGTTTGTATGCTTTAAAAGGTCTTATATTTTAACAAGGTTGGCAACTCTTAACACAAAATTACCGACCGTTAACACAAACATTTTCACAAAACTGCAAATATCACATAAGTACATGGCAAAACACGTAAAACAATATCACGTAGGTTTTCCTAAAAATTTGCCAAAACCCCTTAAAACATTTGCATTTTTTTATACTTCGAAATACATTTGAGTATTATAAAAGTACAAAAATATTGTAAATTTATTTGTGATTTAGTGTGTCAAATATTGCACATAAATGAAATTATGTATTTACTATTTACATAAATTGATTGAATAAAAATACTTGAACAGATTTCTGTGCCGCATATGGTAGTTTACATATAAAACTTTCGATATGCACTGTTTTAAAACATAGGTATTCATGCTAAGTTGCATGTTTTTCCTTATTGATATTTGGTCCAAAGTTAGTATAAAAGAGGGGATTTGGTGACAACAGAACACACTGAGAATGTGAAGTAAAAAAAAAAATTTCGTTCATTAAAAAAAATTTCCAGTTTCTTTATTTGTATTCCATTAAAATAGCGTTTAACAATTCTCAAAAACCAACTTGTTTCGGATAGAGAAGTCTAGAAGTATGCAATTACGATATAAAGCTTTTTATTTAATGAAAATTATACTAGTTGACTTAAACTTACTTCTATTCGTTATATAATAGAAAACTCAACATTTCGGCAATCAACGACAGTATCTGGCATCACCTGGCCATCATCATTGGTCGCACTCGTAAAAAAATATTTCTTGATGGAAGTACAATTTATAACCAAACTATGGTCAATCATTCATTACCTTTATTAAGTGATGGTGGTGTTGTTGCTATTGGTCAAAAACTTGAGTGTGAGAATGGAGTTTTTAATCCAAATATGTCATTTGTTGGTGAAATAAGTTATTTAAACTTGTGGAATCATGACGTTGTTTGTGAGAATTCCAGTCCTATGGTGCTGATTAATGATAAATGCACCACTGGTCTAAATAAAAGTACTCTTGTAGTCAAGTGGAATCATGTATACCAATTTACAAGTGAAAATGTTGTTAAAGTGCCCTCATTACGTAAGTTTAGTAAGTCTAATTGGCTTTTTAACTCCAATAATTTTATAATCAAGATGACGTATTTTAAAACAATTCTAAGTGAAAAAACTACCAGTGCATTTTACTAAAACTCATTTTCTTTCAAGTGGTTATGACTTGTTAATGTTTTAAAAAAAGAGAAAATTTTACTTATTAGATTAAAGTAAAAAGGTGCAAAAAATAGAAATTTATGTTGTAAATTTAAGATATGTAGATATCAAATTTATGTTGTAAATTTAAGTTCATTTTTTCACACTTTGATACGAAATAGTTGTTCGTTCATAAATAAATTTATCCCTGAAAGTTCATCATCTGTTATGTAGAAAAAACATGCAGTAACAAAGGAGAAATTTTCCCAGAATGCGGATCTGCTTGTGCAAAAACATGTCGTGGTATATCACGTGGTTTAAAATGCAGTGAAAGATGCATTCCTGGATGCCAGTGTCCAAAAGGATCTTACTTGGACGAAAAGAATCGTTGCGTTCCTATGAAGGAATGCCCATGTTTCTTTGAAGGAAATTATTACAAGGCGGGTGAAAGTGCCAATGTTGGACGTTGTAAAACCTGGTCGGTATTTCTTTAAGCATAATTATGTCAATAATTTTTATCTTCACTATAGTTTTGTTTTTTTTTGTTTCGTGTCTTTTCTTCAGTACTTGTAATATGGGAGCTATGGCTTGCGTGGAAGACCGAAATTGCTCCTCCAAAAGTAAGAACAACATTGCGTTTTTAAGGCTTGAAAGATGTCCGAATAAGAAAAGTGAAATGCAGTGATTAATCACCTGCAAAATGTTGCCAATTAAATTTTATATTAAAAATTTATGAACATGAATTTTGTCAAACAAAAAACCATTAACAATTAGCTGTAAAACATTCTCTTCTTAGCTACACAAGAAGATTTTAAAGTTTGTTTAACATATATAAACTCTTTCGTTATTTAATTCTTTAACCTATTCAAACCTATTCTAACAAACGCTTAGTATACTAAATATGTTTCTAGGTCCTTGTAAATCGTTCCTGTGCAAAAATGATGGTCGTTGTCTCAAGGAAGGAGATACATTCTCTTGTATTTGTATCAATGGATATCATGGCAAAACTTGTGAAGGTTTGTTATGTTACACTTACAATTAAGCAACTGTACAAGTCAAATAACAATTCTTTTTGTTGTTACTACTTCAAGTTTCATGCAAAATGCAAACATCAGGTAACTGAATACGAAAAACGATGAAATTGAATTTTTCTATTACATAACGTTAATTATTTGCTTACGAGCGTAGTTTTTGTTAAAAAGCCTGTTTGCATGTTAACGACTATGATTTACTGAAAAATCTCCGCACGTTCCCCTTTCAGTCGTTGCACTTTATTAGGCTACCTTGTATATTAAATACGTAATTAATTTAAGAGGAAGAAGTTAAGAAAGTATTGGCCCCATGATGCACTCACTGATTTGGCTGTACTAGATTTGCGTTTACGCAATGAATTAACTGGCTTTCTACCACTTAAATCTAAGCAGTGAAATGTCAGATGTCATAAAATGGCAGAAAATGAGTTGGACTCATTTATAGAAGAATATTTGACGCCATTTTATACTTAAACAAACAGATATGTTTGCAAAAGTTTTCCAACATTAAAATTCTGAGTGTTTATTCTCAAAATTGCACCTTATTTATTTACCCTTCAGTAAGGGTTTTTAAGCCTGTCAATTTGACTGTCATTGTGTAACAGAAATATTATATTTTGTTTGTAATGAGAAATTTTTTTATGTTTCTTTCTTTTATCTTCTTTTAGCTTCTTGATGCCATAAAAATATCACCTTTTTATATTTTCGTTCTTCCTAAATAAAAAAGAAATATAAAATAGGTTTACCACATTAAAGTGGATATCTCCGAAACTACTGCGGTTTAAAATACAAATAGTAGTTGTCACATTAAATTGGGCATGCTCACAGATTTTAAAAAAAATATTTGTAAATTTTGGTCACCAAACAACTTTAACAAAACTCTTTGTCATTGTTATTTAAAATTTATATTTCATAGTTAGTTTTTGTGCCATCATATTTAATTATATGCGTTAAATATCAAGAAAAAATATCATTTACAGTAATCCTATAATCTTTCTGTCCATAGAGTTACCACCAACACCATGTGACTCTCGTCCTTGTAAAAACAACGGTATCTGTTCAATTAATGGAGATACATTTTCGTGTGAATGTGCTGTTGGTTTTGAAGGCAACACTTGTGAAGGTTTGTAAAGCTTAAGTTTTCCTTAAAGTAATTTGTGAAAAATACAGTTTTATATCAATGTATAAGAGTTGAATATGGGTGATAAAATGTTTTATAATCATTCAAATATCAGATACAACTTGGTTTTCACACACTGTGACTGGCATATCGTACCAATGGAAATTGTCTTGAATGTCTAAAACACAAACAAAACTACCTCATAAACATAAGCTTCATATGACATTAGCAATAAAAAACAAACATTTAAATGCATTTTTATCATAGAAAATTGTGACTAATAATTTTTTAATTTTAGTTACGAATGCATGTGCAAAAGGACCTTGTAAGAATGAAGGTGTTTGTACAATTGTTGGATCTTCTTATAAATGTGAATGTAAATTTGGTTTTACTGGAAAGAATTGCGAACGTAAGTCCACTCATACATTTGCTTCATGAAAATGTGATTTCCAAGAATTTTCGTACAAGTTACGTAATTATAGCATAATTTATTAAACTTTAAACTTTTCATAAGTTGTAGGTGCATTGCACTAAGAGAACATTAACTTGAATTTAGGTCAAGTTATTGTCATTAGGCGTTATTAATTGACATAGTTTTCTAATTTTACCAATAAATTCGGCAAAAAGACTGCAAATTTAAGCATATACCTGGGTAATCATTTCATAAGTGGCTTGAAGAGTCAATGAATTTTCCAAAGTATACCAGGATATTTGTTGACACCTGGTACGAAACATGCTTCTTCAATATACAACCGGGGATTGTTAAGTAAAGATTCAATAACAAAGTGCACAATATAATTTAAGTTTAATAAAACATAAGTTTCTTGACATTGTTGCAAATTTTACTATAAACTGCTGCTTTAAAAAGCAGCGAGTTTTTCAATGTGTGCCACGTCCTGTCAACTAGACCCAGTCACAGCACCTCACGGTCAAATACGAAAAAAGACAACTTTGAGGCCCAAAACTTCAAGGAAGATCAAATTTTCGTGTAATAAGATATATTGCAAATATGTGCTGTAGGTGATTTAGGCATTTTTACAGTCCAAATCTAAGCCAATCTCCTAAACACACAAACTTTTAAACGAACCAATCACAATTAAGATGCAAACTGGTGACTTTTTCGTAAGGCTTTCACAATGCTAAGTATCACATTTTTAAATGAAAATCACAAAACTTGCTTGTGATATGAGAAAGTAATTTCTAAAAAAAAACATTTATTCAAAAATTTGTAATCGAAATTAAAGTTGAAGAAAATTCTGTTCTAACACGTATTGTCAGTCGGCAAATGTTGACGAATTTTTAAAATAAAATCGGTAATCGGCACAAGTGAAAGCGTAGATGAAGAAAAATATAAATGAGTAAAAATTTTATCTTACTATAGTCAGATTAGGAAGTCAAATACAAGAATTTAAACTTTGTTTAGATGTCTGGGTAAGCTATTATATTTTTATGGAAAATCCTTATTTAATATGACACTGTAAATTTGTTACCCTAGATATTTTAATTTGTGTATTTGATGGTTTTTTATGATTTCCCTCTGCCTGTCAGCCGCAATATTTTTGCTCCCGATTTTCATTCAACAGGATGCAGATTTAGTGTAACAAATCCATAAAATTACTCTATGTTTGACTGACTTTTGTGTTTGTAATCTAGTATTATCTTGCAGCGTTTACTTCTGCTTTGCCTTTGATTAATTTTACGTCGTGCACGAGTGTTTATGAAAAGGTATAAACGAAGACAACTTGTTTTGTATTGATTATTTGTTATGATGACTTTCAAATTTATAAACTTAAGTTTGTGGGGTTCTGTCAGCATGGTCTTATTGATTTGAATAATAAAATTGATAACTGATAAAATTTTATTTAATATACTTGTCAATGCAACTTAAGCAATAAAAAAAATAAAATAAGTCTTTTGATGTACTTGTCTTTTCAATATATCTCCATATTACGATGTTTCCACTCTTCAATTTGACATTCACCTCACCCCAGTTGTGATCACTTGGCAACGGCCAAGAGTTTAATAACGTTCAAACCACTTCAAAGCTACTTATGCACATAATCGCATAATATAGGATTATTTTTTACCTCCATTCAGTATGCAACCAATGAATACTGTCAAATAATAATGTTGCTTCAAGGATTTATTTTTAGCCACAATAAAAACTTCTCTAATGAATTATTGCTCTGCCCCTTCATTTTTAAATATAAATTACGTTATTTAATTTAGTCAATGTTAAACCAGTCTGCGTAAATGCAAACTGGTGGAGGTCTTTCGACAAACAAGGATGGTCAACTTGTGACACCACAAACCAGTTTATCACTGGCTTATATCGCAACAAATTAAAAGTCAACAATGATAGACTTAACCGTCTTGAAGAAGCCAAATGCTGCAAATCTAGTCCAATATATATTGGGCAGAAAAGTATTTGCCAAAATGCAGACTGGTGGGACTCTTTCAACAAGTTAGTATTTTTCCCCAGAATCAATCTTTTAACTGGAATTCATTGTCAATCTTTTAACTGGTATTAATTGTGGTTCATTTTCTCAGTTCTTCTTGCTACGAAAATGAAGGGATTTGGATACATTACTTGGACTATGATTAAAATCTTTAAATTTTATGATTGTTTAGTTTAACGTAAAAAATGCGTACCAATATTTACAGGTTTTTTTGAAAGGTTGATCCCGGATAGTGCTTACTATTCTCAATTTCAATTTTGATTTTTTTTTAAGTTTTGTACTTTTATGCTTTTGTTGCCTAATTGTGAACACTGATGGTATTAGTAGCAACCGATAGCCGAATCATTCTTAGCCTCTAAACGTGGCAACTTGAACAGCTTTTCAATTAAAAACAAGGCGCAATGTCTTGAAAGTTGTCCTTTAATTTAGTGAAAAAAATTTTTTACGATCTTTCTTCTGTTGGTTTTCCATGTGCTCGTAGCTAGCTACATTTTAACTTGTGTAGCAACACTTTCTAATAAAGATTTACGTAATTAAATTGACGCACTCAAGACTGTACAGATAAACATATAAATAATTTGAAAAAATAAGCAGGATAAGCTGTTTAACTCTCAATGCTTAACAACAACCAAAAACGACTAAAAATAGTAAATGCAATCATCTGTGTGTGTCATTCAATCATAAAAAAAATAAAGATTGAAACTTATTTCCTTAAAAATGTATTTCAGAAAAGGATGGAGTGTTTGTTCAAATGGATATTTTCTAAGTGGTGTCTATCGCTCAAACGGACACCACTTACACAACCTCGAAGAGGGAAAATGTTGCAAACCAGTCAATCATCCCGACAAGTATGGTGATTGTTACCATGAAAATATCAAAAATGAATTCAACAAAAAAGGATGGACAATGTGTAAAAAAGATGGCTACTACGTCACTGGATTAAGACGAGATTCTGGGGATTGGCTAAAGGACATTGACAATTTTAAATGCTGTAAAATGTGGAGTGGTAAGAATCACGAAAACTAATTCTTTTTAAATCATTAATTAAAAGTAAATGTTTCATTATCTCTGTTTGTGTAGGTTGAAGCTCCATGCCAACCACATGATAAATAAGCAAGTAATGATTTTATAGAAAAACGTTGTTGTTGTAGTTAGAAACTGTTATTTCAGTTATTTTGTTAACTCATTTTTCAAATAAAACTTTGATACAAAAGGAATGTGGATATTTTTAACTTTTCATACCACAAATTGCATGTCCATGAAGTTTTAACGCAAGATTCCCTTCATTTCTGTAATCATACTTGTCTGTATAGTTTTATTGTATGATTATACATGTATATGGGCTTTACTATTTAGTTCGTGAGAACAGTTACGACAATAATATTCAAAATTGTGTATTTGTTATTTGTTATTTGTTAAAAATCAGTTATCGCTCCTACTTAGCGGGGAAATAATAATTTTTCACTACACATATGGCATAAAAATGTAGAATCTTATAAACGACCAAATGCGATGTCATTGATCTATTGCTCTGAAATGGAGCTATAGTATAACAATTCAATTTTTTTTATCGATAATTACTATCAATTATTTTGTCGATTTATGCGTCAAAAAATGGGAAAGCTGAATATTCTCGCAAACTAAAAACAAACAAATCGTCGTAAACAATGTAAGAAGTTATTTCAATTTCATCAAAATTGTACACCAAGAAACATAGCTACTCCTTATAAAACGTTCTTGAACAGAACATATCAAATGAATGGACATATTGATCGTCACGAAAAGACAAAAAGTTATTCCTTGTCGAAATCCTCCTCACCATCGCTCAATTTGCACAGTATGGCCTTCTGCTGTCCTTATATATTTTAATTAAAACTGCTCGTTATGTGTCTTCATACTAGATAAAACTCAAAAGAAAAAAACCCCCGTTTTCGGTCCATGCTTCCCGATACCTTTTTAAGCGTAAGGCACTAGAACGCTGCATGTTAACGTTTCGGTAGGAGATTTCTGCCCCTTCCACGCTATCCTACTTGGGGATGTCAATAACAAGCTTCCGCCCATCAGACCCCGAGATCACCTGCGATAGGCTTTGCTCGGGGTTCGCAGGGAGAGTGCGGTCGCGACCCGAAGCGTCTGGACCCCTAAGCCACTGCATACATATCGCACCCAGCTTCCACTGCTAGTTGACATATACTATACATATATTTAGCTTTATATTTATATACATAAGTTGTAAGCCTTACGATAGTTGCGGTATAATTAAAGTCACTACTGTGCATGCCCAGATGATTTCCTTGATAATTTGCGACTAATTGAGCCAATTGCCACAAATGTAGTGCAGGTACATATGGTTGTGCCATGTCTATAAACAGTCGGTCGAGTGGACAGCGCATGCGCTATCGCATTGCAGATAATTTCTTTATTAATTTGTTACTAAGCATGCTACTTACTTCAAAATCGATGCTAGTTGATGGAATGTGGATACAGTTGGTCGTTGCCGTGACCATGAGCTTGGGCAGCTGGTCAAGTCGATTGTGCATGCGCAGAAAATTTATCTGAAAATTTGTGACTGAGCAAGCTAATCCTCAACAATCGGTACTGGTACATACAGTTAGTCGTTAAGATGAACATGAACTCGAAGAGTTGGTAGAGTTGGCTTGGAATATGCTCAGATTAATTCTCAATTAATTTGTGGCGGAACGAGCTCTGAAATTAATGCTTGTACATGCGCTTAGCAATTGTCAATCATATATTTTTGGCACGCTTTTTGTCTTCTTAATTTTTAATTTTGTTTTGACAAATGCATATCAAACTCATCAACACTTTGTTACGCCACTCTATTGCGATAATATCCCTTAAAATGATAGAGATATTTCATTTTTCTCCATAATTTTGTATATGCATATTTTGTGCATAAACAATGATCTAATATTTATAACAGATATTATAATTTGTCGATTAAGTAGAAGAAATACTTGAAAATGAAACTTCCAGAAGTGAAACAAAATCAAGCATAACAGAGGAGAAATAGACCACGCCAGGATGAAGATAGCTTGATGAATTTGAACGTAGTTGAAGCACGTAGCGTACGCTCGAGAGCTTGGATAAAGATTCATGGACCAGTGAAAACACGAAGGAACCATGCATAATGACGACGATAATAGCTATAGCGAGGACTAGATTCCAGTAAATTGCAATCCATGAATAACACCAAGTCTACTGAAGATATGTTCTAAAATTATCGATGAAGCACTTATACAGTTTGGAAGCTCGTTGGCTCACGTGGTATATAGTAGGGGAAACTGTTTATGATGTTGCTGAAGATATGTAAAAATAACTACCCACGTCCTTCATTTAGGACGAGGAATCTGATTTCGAAAGTGAAGGGGAAGCAATTACTACGAGAGACTTGTAAGAAGATTCGAAATGTATTCAGCAAACTTTTTAAGTACAGATGGAGCTTTGTGTGAAGAGTACTCTAAGAAATGTTAATTGTAGCAAAACATAACATACTATATGGAAAAACGTAATATATAGACTTCATAAAACTTATTAACTTAGTAAGACCTCGGAATATTTAATATATGCAAGGTCGCTCGTGTTGCTCGTGTCGCGGCCTTTAATGTTTTTCTCCTCGCGCATGTTGTGTCGCGTACATTGGCAGCCATTATTCCAGTAATCGATTTCATGACAAAGAGGTAATGCCATGTTTTTCCTGAGGTTGGAAACAAGTGAAAATCTTTAAATATCTTACCGGAATTATGGCATCAATGAGGTAGCAGGGCACATTTGGGTGGCCCACATGTGGAAAATCACTGATGACTGATATATCTAAGCCCACGATCAATAAAATTGTCAATCTAACCATAGATATATTAAATTTAGATTTCTGACGTATATACAAGTTGTACGCATTGATATGTAAATAATACTGAATAACGCATTAACGATGATCTTAGATTTAGTAGACATAGGTTGCTGACGCATCCCATTCGCTAGAACATCTTATAATCCAAGAATAGTCCAAGATGGCGTACTAGGATTGTATTACAACTTTAATGTTTTTTAAATATTAAGCCGATTTTTTATAAATTTTTCCTCTGCAATCGACTTATTTTGACAAAATACGTTTATTTTTCATCTTTTGCGCAAATAATGGCCTCCTTAGATGAAACAATCATGAAAATATCCAATTTATCGTGAAGCATGGCAATTGGTCACTTGACCTGTTTGTGTAATTTCTCTCCAAGTACAGTCAATTATACTGCGAAAATTTCTAAACAGAGATACTTTTGGACTACGAAAACCTATGCTCATTCATTTTTGGGTTGAATGAAGATTCATAGAGCTTACGTCAGTAGAAAAGGGTAAAAATGGATCGATAAAGGACTATTTGATAAGATCTGTAACTGCTTTAAAGTACGCATGCAAAATAGACATGAAGAGTATTAGAACGTCTCCGAAAAGGTTAGTTTTGACGAGATAAGGGTAATTTTAGCTAAGTCTGGGGGCATATAAAGATTTATGATTAACAAAAAAGCAGCTAGTGAAGTATCAACTAAATAACGCACCTTTTGACGATAAACATTTGCATGCTCTTACGTTTTGGCCTTAAAACCATGACCCTCCGTCCCCCTCTGCCTTCTTGTGAGCAATATGCAACAGCGTTTTGTGAGCACAAAATCACACTGTTTTCTTGAGTTGACGTAAAAATGTTATAATTAAGTTTGCTACAAAGTATTCAGAAAGTATTTACTGCATTTACTTGACTCAATTTTATACTTTGCGTTCATTAACGAACATGTGTACAGCGATTAGTCCTGAATTGTAGTAAGTGGTTGGAGAACGAGGGTAGCAAAAAACTACACAATTCTCAAAATTAAGCTCAATTCACATTTATCATGATTTTAAACATTTATAAACAAATGCAGGATGTAACGAGTTATGACTGTTAAAAGAAAACACGACGTGTAATCATGGTCATTAACGCCGCAAAACTTTGTTTTGCAAGCTGACCACTCATCAAAGTATAGTGAAAATGGGATCAACTGTTCACTGAATCCTGTTTAAAAAAAATTGCAATTACTAGAGTCGTATTGTATAATTTATAACTTTCATATGTTTGTGTTAAACTTTATCTGTCTATATCTGTCCGATAAATTACTTTAAAGTAAATGGTTTGAGCCCGGGAGTATCGTTACATGTTTGTAAATGTCGATCGTCCAGGTTGGTATAGTCCTGAGAAGGACTGTTTTTGTTGTTGTTGACTGACGTTTCGACAACCTTAGCGGTAGTCATCTTCAGAGTCATTTGACAGTCAGTCCTTCTGAGGAGTATACCAACCTGGACGATCGACATTTACAAACATATAAATTACTTTACGAGAAAACAGATAAATTTGTAGAAACTATAGTGAAAGTAACTTAATGAGTTATTCAAGGAAAAGTATAGGAAAATCTAAATTATAAGAGAAAACTGAACTTTAGAGGCAACAATTTGGTTTTGTAAAAATTTATGTAAATGAAAGACACAAAACAACAAGTTGTGATTAAGGAATAAAATAATTATAGGGAAATATCAGAGCATTAAACAATGGACAATGTGGTAATGAAGGAAGTGATGCAGCACGTGTGTATAATTGAGTATATCTGTCAAAATATAGGGAATTCAAAAGTAGGCATGCAAGATGGCAAAAGGAAAATACAGGAAGAGATATACAGATCCATGCAGTTAAAGAGAACATGCATGTTTTGTATAAGCTATCGATATTCCTATTAAAATTATGTACGTACATGACACAATCACAGCACTACATGCAGACGAAATCGATGACTTTTACACTCGCATCAACAAACAAACTCAACTGCTCTGACTGCCACACCTCCTATATCGGGAACACTAGCAGGTACTTAAACATAAGACGTACCGAACACAAACGAGCTACTAAGAAACAAGACAAAACTTATAACATTGCCGAACATCACCGACTGACAATCACAACATTGACTGGGACTTGGCAAAATGCATTACTTATGGCACTGACTATATACAACGGCTTACATTAGAACGTTGGTCTACCAACTTAGAACAAACCCCCTGAACAGATCACAGCAATTACCTGCTCCTTACAAACGACTTATTTACAATACAAACAAACGATCAACTAAAAACTTTGCACTTCACACTAATCCACCATGACAATACACAATTAGCACCC